CTAATAGATTAGCACATTCTAATTTTAGAAGTTTTGTGCTAACTATGTAATGCTATATGTCTTATTGAGAACAAATGCTATTAGAATATCATGCATCTTGAATGTTTGGAAGCTTTTGCATATAATATATGTGAGTTTACAAAGAGGAATTATATTGGTGGAGGACGCAGCCATTAGTAGACAATGAAAACATTGAAATAATTCCCAATTTTTCCATACCTTGGCTCAGTCATTAATCAAAGCAGCGACTGCAGTCAAGAAGACAGAAGATAAGCTTAGAAGAATAGCTATGAAGGAACTAGACAAAATCCTGAAGTGTAAGATATATTATTGAATAGTAAAAGTTAGAATTGTCCATGCCCATAGTTTTTCCAGTTTCTATGTGTGGTTGTGAAAACTGAACAGTGAAGAAAGCTGATAGGAAGAAAATCAACTCATTTGTCATGTGTGGCTGGAGAAGAGTTCTACAGATATTGTGGATAAATAAATGGGTATTGGAGTAAAACAAGCCTGAACTCCCTAGAAAGCAAGATGATTAAACAGACATAACATAAGAAGACATGACTCACTTGAAAAGACAATGAAAAGAGGCATACCACATTACAAATGGGTGGACTCAATCGAGGAAGCCATGGCCCAAATCTGCAATACCTAAGCAAATGATAGCGTGACTTGGAGGTCTCTTAATCTTAAGGTCACCAAAAGTCAAATTTCACTTGATGGCAGTTAGTTCTATTATCTACTAGAGTTATTATGTATGCTCTTTTACATGCTACTGTTCAAACTAAAAATCACTGTTACCATTAGTCTGGCAGTTGCATTTCTAATCAAAACTATGAAGAGTAGTGATTCTGTGTGCAGCTAATATATGATATTTATAATGCTAATCAGTGTTCTTAAAGTTGGTCTCACATTTTTACTAGTAAAAATAACTACTTTTAGATGTAACTACAGTGGGCTGTCTGTATCTGCTGGGTTTTTGGTTGCAGGACTCCCTGTGGATACCAAAATCTGTGGATGCTCATGTCTCATTAAATATAATGGCATAGTAAAATGGTGTTCCTCATATAAAATGGCAAAATCAAGGTTTGCTTTTTGAAATTTGTATTTTTAAAAATACTTTCAAGCTTGGGTGCTTGAATCTTGGATAAAAAAATATGTGGATATGGAGGGCCAATTGTACTACTTAAATAAATTTTGTGTACTACACTGTGGTTTGTAATGTGGATCTAAATACTGTATGAGCCTGTGGGGAGAACTTTTCATTCATAGTTGAATCTTTATTTATTAGAAAAGCCCACAGACACTAGATGCTATATCGAAGGATCACAGGAGATTGGAACAGATGTTATTTTGAAATGTAAATCCCAAGAAGGCACTCCTGTCATAAACTACTACTGGACAAGAACCACTGGTACAGAACTTCCAGCCACATCTTCACAAAGTATGTTGCATTTTTTTGTGTCTTTATTTTAGATAAGGGCATGAAGGATATATACACTACTACCTTCAAGAGCCTGTGTAGTGTAGTGGTTTGAGTGTTGGGCTACAACTCTAGAGACCAGGGTTCAATTCCTTGCTTGGCCATAGAAATGCCATGATGGGGTTGCCATATCTCAGAAATAACTTGAAGGCACACAACAACCTTGAAGTGTTAAAGAAACTGAAATACTGTAAAACTTTAACATGTAAAAATTAGGTTTTTTTCTAATTAACTAATGGTATGTTAAATCTTTTTTCAAGTATTTTGCCAAAGGAGTTTCTTAACATTTGAGCCTTGTAGCTGGCTCAGAGATCAGGAAAAGGGGTATGATGATAGCTCCTTCTCAGCAAGTCATTTAATTTGAGTAAAAGCACTTGTTAGTGGGGCAAATCGAGGTGATGTAGGGAGGGAAATTTAGCTATTGAAGATATGAACTAACGTGAGATAGAAAACCATTTTTAGACTACAAGCCTATGCACACTTATTCCTGCTGAAATTGTAGGACATGAACTAGTAAGGCTTTCTTCAGGGTAAACTTGAATGAGGTTGCAGTGCACATCAGTGGTCTACAACTACGTTGATCTTAATCTGCCTTTACCGTTGCCCCTCCTAATTCATGGGGGATCTGTTCCAGCTCCCCTCATGAAAATAGCAACTCGCACATATTCGAGTCCCATTGGAAATAATGGGGCACACGCCTGTGGTTGGTGTGCATGGCGGCACGCGGCACCATTATATTAATAGTCACTTGTCCCTCCTGCGAAGAACGACTACAGATTCCAAGTCCGCAAAAAGGGAGAGACAACTATAATTCCAGTCTGCTGTATTAAATATATTAAATTAATAAAATATGCGGCTCCCAAATGCAAATGTAACTTTGTAAACATGCTATCATAATTGAAGATCCCCCCTTTTATGAAGGTTTTGAGGCATAAGTGCCATCCATTTGCTTAAAAAAACAAACTCTGTAATTGCCTATTTTGACCAGTGTTGTAATTAGTATGAGGAGCTGCAAAAAACTCTCTTAAACGGGACTCTTTAATAATAATAATAATAATAATAATAATAATAATAATAATAATAATAATAATAATTTTATTTGTACATTTATTTGTAACATTTATAACCTATGTCTGAAGACAAGTACTGTCTATTATTGGAACTTCTCTCCATTGAACCTTCATCCCTGTAATTTACATTAGGTGAAGGTAAAAATATCTCAGGTTATTTGACACAAATACAAGAGCCACATTCACTGGAAAAGGTTTCTTTATATTTTTATATTTTTTTACAGGTCCCTAAAGAAGCTTCTGTTTAGTTTCAAAAAGCTTATTACCTTTGGGAGCTATATAGCAGAGGAAGCAGATCTCCAGCTTGCATATATGCTTCCTTTGCACAGATACATGTCTCCCTACATTAAGTTTTGTCCCTTGTCTGTGTAGTGCAGTAAGTTACATTAATTTTTTTTAAAGAAATATAAGAAATTTACAACATAAAAGTAATTTTGATCA